CACGTGTCAATCTGAGAATTGGCCCTCATTGTTTGCTTATATGTATAGTAGAGATATAAAACTTAATTGCATTTATATCAAACCTAATCAAATTATTTATATACGTACAATATAATTAGCAACAAATAACTTGCCATAACAGATCCTGTAACTGACGGGAAGCAAGTCTGGAGAGAGAAATATTTTTATGTCAGCATTTTTTATCCCAGTCTTCGTGTATGTCAGATTATACATGACAAATACATTTTTATTTTCATATGAAAAATATAAATAGTATATATACGAAAAATATACAGTATATATATATTTGCAACTACACAAACAACAAAAAAAGTATAAATATACTACACATATAAAGCATATATATACAGAAGATATACAGAAAATATACATCAAATATTTTAATGTACATATGAAAAATATAAATAGTATATATACGAAAAATATACAGAATATATATTTGCAACTACACAAACAACCAAAAAAAATATAAATATACTACACATATAAAGCATATATATACAGAAGATATACAAAAATTATACATCGAATAGTTGTTGAGTTTGGGCACACACCAGATCTAGGTGTCACGTTGTTTATAAAAACAGAAAACTCCAAAAACTACCAATCCATGTGCCCCATCCTCCATCCCCGTGCCCGTCGTCTCCACTATCGACCACCGGAAGTCGTCGTACGGTCTCAGAGATTATGTTAGAAACGCATGAAATCCGGATATAACACCAACTTCTGCGACGGAGAATCATCTGACGGTGACGGGGAGAAGGTGGAGAACGATGACAACTTGTCCACCATCAGCACGCTCGGGGGCTTGCGGTGATGAATAACTAGGCCAAGCCGCGACCAGGGCCTAGTCGGGCAAGCGCGGCCGCCGGAAGGAGAAGGTGGGCGATGCGGTCTAGATCTGAGTTTTTTTTTCTTCATTTGCTACAGTTAATTTGAGGGGAAGAGAAAGGACCGCAGATTTAATAAAATGATCGCTATAATAACTTTTGTGGCATATCTGCAAATAAAAGGGAAAAATTGTTTAATATTGCTATTATTTGTAGATTGATATTTATTATGTAATAAAAAGTCTAATTGATGGTGTTTTGAGTAATTTTCTTCGTCCCGAATAATCTTCCTTTTCTTCACCCGGTTTAATTAGGCCAATTTACAGGCGTGCAGTATTGATTTCAACATATTTGCATATATACAAAATAAATTGCACTTTTACCTAACTTATACAAATAATTTGTATATGTACAATGGTTGAGAAACGGATCAGTAATAATGACTTACCATAACAAGATCCTCCGTAACCGACTAGAAGCATGCTTAAAAAAAGTTGTATTACCTGCCGGCGACGTGCCTCCTTCGGATTTCTGCTTTGCCGTCGCCGCATGCAGACCGGGGAAAAGACGAGCTTTTCTGGGGATAGTCGGCCGATGGTCGATTTTCGACGCGCTCAGCCTACTTGGCGTTATCTCCGTCGGGTGATCGGAGTGCTGAAAGCTTATGGAGAGTCATTTGGCGGTGGGTTGGTCCTCAACGGGTTCGACACTTTCTATGGCTTGCCGCCCGGGAGAGCTTACTGACCAATGAAGTCCGCCACAAGCGTCATCTTGCTGATCACGCGGGCTGCCCAGTCTGTCCGATGGCCGTCGAAACCACGATCCATGTGCTCCGTGATTGTGTTGCGGCGCGAGAAACATGGCAGAATTTGGTGCCTCGAAGTCGGTGGAGCAGCTTTTTCTCGTTAGAACTTCGGCCTTGGTTAGCTAAAATTTAAATGGTCGGTTGATTACGGAAATCGACGACTGGGAAACAGTTTTTGGTATCACGGTATGGCGCTTGTGGCGATGGAGGAATCTCAAGGTTTTTGAGGGCGCTGATACATCCTTGGTCCACAGGCTTGGCGAGGTACGATCCTATACGGGCAGGCTTCAAGGTGTTCAGACTACGAGTGGCATGTTGGGCGCCTGTATTTCGCGTGAAAAAAGGTTGATATCTTGGTCCTTTCCGGCGGTGGGGGAACTCAAAGTCAATACCGATGGTAGCTTCGTCCCATCGACGGGGATGGCTAGTGCGGGCAGGGTCGTGCGTGATCATTGTGGTAACTGGGTTCGGGGCTTTGTGATGAATATTGGGTTTTGTTCGATTATGGGTGCCGAACTTTGGGGCTTACTTCAGGGGTTACAGTTGGCATGGGATATTGGAGCACGTAACATCACGGTGGAGGTTGACAATCAAAGTGTTGTTACGATGGTTACCCATGATAACACTAGCGGGCCGCATGGGAGTCTTTTGAAATGTATTAAGGATCTTCTAAGTCGACCTTGGAGCGTGACTCTTATTCATGGCTACCGGGAAGCTAACTTTATAGCGGACTTTTTGGCTTCTCTAGCGGCTAAAGTCCCGGGTGGTTTGCATATATTAGGGCATCCTCCTCCGGGAGTGGGTTTGTGGCTTCAACATGATATTGCCGGCGTGTCTCACCCTCGCCGGATGTTGATATAGCCGGGTTATAGGCTTTGCCTCCTTTCTTGTACCAAAAAAAAAAAAAATTGTATTACATGGTAATTAAATATACAATCACGAGATTAGCAGTTCCCTAAAAATCTGCATAATTTGAATTTTGCAAAACGAAAAGACAGAAGGATTTCGTTGAAGAATAAAAACCAGAAATCAGTGAGAGCAAATTTTGGATTAAGCCCGCAGCTTTGGATTAATAGCGGCGGTGAGCAGCGACCATATATTGGATGAGTCCAGCAGATCTGAACGTGACTAGCGACGATAAAAAATCGACAGCTCTAGATCGAGGGTGGTGGTTTGCGGCACGACTACGACCAAACGGTGTCTCAGATTCATGGCGGATTGCGGCGACACGACTCAGAAAACTCATAGGCGAGCGGCTGCGTCCCTAGGCATAGACTGATGGAGGCTGGCAGAGGCTAGTGGTCGCGCGACCTAGATGGGTGGATGTTCGGCTATTCCGTTTATGTACCATTTATATTCCGTTTATACACCGTTTATGTAGTATATGGATACATGGTTCTTATAATATGCAATTTATTATTGTGATTTGATGTGTTGTTAGTATTTTTACCGGAGTAGAATCGAAAGATTCGAACACCGGGTCATGTCTCTCGAGGAAAGTAAGCCGGAATATTCTGTACGTTTATTCAATCACAAATAAAATAAATAAAAGAAATAAAACACCTAAACATACTAAATCAAAGATTAAGTTTGGTTTTTAATTATGAACTACTAAAATTTAAATAAGCAAAATTGAAATAGCAAATTAATAACGAAGAATAAATAGGATTCGAGAAGCTAGGGAGTCGGGGATATCCGTTTTGACTCGAATTGTAGTTAATAGGCAAGTGATTGTTCAGCTAAGTGATTTGAATAACCGACACGTTCAAGTACTCATTCTCAATAACTTTTCGTAACAAGAGAACAAACTAGAACGGCAAATTAACAATTCATTTAACTCCTAGGCAATATAGTTACGAACAAGCCTAGCTTATGCGAGCCTATTTCGATCGACTTCTCCCCTTTCGGTTCAAAGAGACGATTAATATAGACTAGAGGATGATTAACCGACTAATCAATTAGAGTAACCAACATCAAACCAGAATAAATCGAACTCAATTAAAATCAACTGGAGATTGACGTGTCACCCTTCAATAATCCTCAATATTCAAATACGATAATTGAAAAACACTATCAAAAGCTCGACTCGCATAAGATGATCAATCATTACCACCCACAATCACAATCGAGATCAAAACGTCAATCTCCTATTCCCTAGCGTATGAATTTAGCTACGCATAATCAAATCAGCAATCAAAATCATAATCATCAAAGAATCCATATTCATTAATTAAATGAGAAGAAGAATCTTACGATGAATAAATTCCGAAGTTGAATGATAACATGATAAACACGATTAATCCGAAAAGAATAGCAAAATCCAAAATTGAATCTGTGTTCTCCGTCTGAAATTATGAAAGAAAGATCAAAATCAGTTTTTGGGGGAAAGGCTCGAGAGAAAGAAAGAAAACCTAGCGTGAATAATAATACCACAGTTCATAAAATTCAGATTTTGCAAATC